CCTCCTCCTCCTCCTCCTCCTCCTCCTCCTCCTCCTCCTCCTCCTCCTCGCAGCACTTGTGTGAGGTGGGTGTGGTTCATTTCATAGGCCCACCGAGGTTCACAGAGGATGCAAAGTACAGGGACTAGCCGAGGGATGCCAGAGTCAGGACGGAGCTCAGAGCCCAGGTCAGATTGGGTCCTGACCACTGAAATGGGCACTCACTGTGCGTCCCTCCCACCCTAGGCTCAGATCCGGAACCTGACCGTGCTGACTCCTGAGGGGGAGGCAGGGCTGAGCTGGCCTGTGGGGCTCCCTGCCCCGTTCACACCGCACTCTCGTTTTGAGGTGCTAGGCTGGGACTACTTCACAGAGCAGCACACCTTCTCCTGTGCAGACGGGGCCCCCAAGTGCCCACTGCAAGGGGCTAGCCGGGCAGATGTGGGCGACGCCGTGGAGACGGCCGTGGAGCAGCTCAATCGGCGCTATCAGCCCCGCCTGCGCTTCCAGAAGCAGCGGCTGCTCAACGGCTACCGGCGCTTCGACCCAGCACGGGGCATGGAGTACACGCTGGACCTGCTGCTGGAGGCCGTCACGCAGCGTGGGCACCGGCGGGCCCTGGCTCGCAGGGTCAGCCTGCTGCGGCCCCTGAGCCGGGTAGAAATCCTACCTATGCCCTATGTCACGGAGGCCACCCGCGTGCAGCTTGTGCTGCCACTCCTGGTGGCCGAAGCCGCCGTGGCCCCTGCGTTCCTCGAGGCCTTTGCGGCCAGCGTTCTGGAGCCACGAGAGCACGCGTTGCTCACCCTGTTGCTGGTCTATGGGCCGCGGGAAGGTGGCCGAGGGGCCCTGGACCCATTTCTCGGGGTGAAGGCTGCAGCGGCTGAGTTAGAGCGACGGTACCCTGGGACGAGGCTGGCCTGGCTCGCCGTGCGAGCAGAGGCGCCTTCCCAGGTGCGGCTCATGGACGTGGTCTCCAAGAAGCACCCGGTGGACACGCTTTTCTTCCTCACCACCGTGTGGACCCGGCCTGGGCCCGAAGTCCTGAACCGCTGCCGCATGAATGCCATCTCCGGCTGGCAGGCCTTCTTTCCAGTCCACTTCCAGGAGTTCAACCCTGCCCTGGCGCCACAGAGGTCTCCTCCAGGGCCCCCAGGGGCTGGCCCTGACCCCCCATCCCCTCCTGGTGCTGACCCTTCCCGGGGGGCTCCCGGGGGAGGCAGGTTTGACCGCCACGCGTCCGCAGAGGGCTGCTTCTACAATGCCGACTACCTGGCGGCCCGCGCCCGGCTGGCTGCTGAACTGGCAGGCCAGGAAGAGGAGGAAGCCCTGGAGGGGCTGGAGGTGATGGATGTGTTCCTCCGGTTCTCAGGGCTCCACCTCTTCCGGGCCGTGGAGCCAGGGCTGGTGCAGAAGTTCTCTCTGCGGGACTGCAGCCCTCGGCTCAGCGAGGAGCTCTACCACCGCTGCCGCCTCAGCAACCTGGAGGGGCTGGGGGGCCGCGCCCAGCTGGCCATGGCGCTGTTTGAGCAGGAGCAGGCCAACAGCACCTAGCCCGCCCAGGCCCCGCACTGCGCACACTTCCCTTCGCTGCCTCAGCCCCGGGAGGGCGAGGCAAGATGGACCGACAGATGGAGAGCTTGTTGCTGTATTTTTTTAATAAGAAAATGTTATTAAAAGTGTCTTCTGCCAAAGTGTTCTTAGCTCTAGGGACACCAAGCCAGAAGAGGAATCCAATCCGAGGGAGGGGGCTGGGGCGCTTCCCCAGAGGGACACAGGGCCTTCCTTTTCTCCCTCCCTCCCAGTTGCCAATGACCACACGGCTGCTGTCAGATGAATGACCTTTAATCCAGTTCCCTGCCTCACCCGAAGGCAGGCAGGTGGCAGAGGGGCGATGGCAAGGCCTTGGGGGACAGGCGCGGGCCCACTGTGCGCCTTCCCGGGGCTCCTAGGTGTTACGCACCACCAGCGACTGCTCCAGCTCCTGCCTGCGCTGCTGGATCTTTAAAGAAATAAGAGCAGGAGTGGGGTTATGGTGTTGCTGGTGAGTGACAGGACAACTCCCGCCACCTGGCCCTCCCGCTTCCGACCCAGAAGAGCATCTGGGAGCAGGCAGGGCTCCCCCCAGGTGAGGGCCATGGTTTCTCTTGGAGTGAGGGGCGGTGGCCTGAGGTACATGGCCCCTCCACACCTTGCAGTAGAAGTAGCGGCTGACAGCTTCCTGGGACCAGGGCTGGTGGTAGAACTCAGCCCGGCGCTCCTCCTCGGGGTTACCTGCCACATCTGTCATCACCTGGGAGGGAACAGTGGGGTCAGCCCTGAGCCCGGAACCCCTCCAGCCCCCGGGTACAACGTTCACTGTCTTCCCGATATGCTTGTCTTCCATCCAGTGCTCCCTGAGTCCCCTTCACCTTGAGGTCCCGGCTCTGGGAGCGGAGCAGGTCTTGGATGTAGCCTTTGGGGTCTCTGGAGAAGCTTAGCATGAAGTCCCTCTGGATCTTGAGCTGGTTTATGGACTCAATCGTCTCATGGATCTACAGGTAGAAAGACAGCCGCTTTCACCTGGCCATGGTGATGTGGGAGAGGAGGGGGAGGAGGGGGCACGTGGGGGGAGGACTGCTGCTGTTCCTTTGAAGGGCCATCCCTTGGGCCCCCTCCCCACCATGCCTCTGCAGTCCCAGGGAAGGGGGGAAGAGCCACCTGTCCTCCATCTCCCCATAGGCCCACGCTCCTGTCTGTTCTGTCTGTGCTTTGTCATTTCTGGGTTCAAGTCCCACTCCAGCTCTGGGCTCTGGCCCCACCTTACTGTCCAGAGCGCTGATCTCCTGCTGGTTGGCTGTGGACAGGAGGAAGCTGCTCATCTGCCCCTTCAGCGGCTCCTCCACCTCCACATCAATGTCATAGCACGCCGTCTTCTTCTGGTCCGAAGGGTCCACGCTGCCAGGAAGTCCGGCCCTTGGTGTTCACCTGCCCCCAGGGCAGATGCAGGGAGGAGGGAGGGGGCACAGGGACGGGAGGGACGGGGAGGACAGGACACAATGGTTCCTCGGTCTTAGGAGCAACTTGGGGCCTCACCTGATCACGTGGTTGATGACAATAGGGTCAGGGGGCAACAGCAGAGCTGTGAGGCGCTGAGGAATCTCAGAAAACTTCAGTCGGGGACAATCAAAAATCTGGGGAGAGAGAGAGAGAGAGAGAGAGAAACCAGTCTTCTGTGCTTGAAAAGAGCATAGCTACAGTGCTAGATCCTTCATTCTGGAAAAGCCACAAGAAGCCGGGAGCAAGTCTAATTCCTCAGTGCTCATAGGGCTGGGACTAGGGCGGCTGCAGGTCACTTGAGAACAGGGGCCCTGGGTTGTCCTGTTAGGTATAAATCCTGCTTCCAGCACTTGCTATTGGGCCGTCGGGAAAGTCATGACATATTATTCTATGTTTTTCAATGCAAAAATGCGGCATGACTTTCCCGACGACCCAATATGTAACCTGAGCAAGTTACTTAATGACTCAGACCTCAGTTCCTTCATCTCTAAAATGGGGATAGCAAAAGTACTCCTCTCCCAGGGTTGCGGTGAGAATTCAACGAATCAGTAGACATAAAGCGCTTGAAACAATGCCTGGTACGCAAGTGCCCAATAAACATCGACTGTTCTTTCTACTCCTCAGGTTTATCTGCTGTATTTATTTAAAGTGTATTACTAATCATCTCTGCTTTGGTAGAATTTTTGTCAAACCCCTTTCACAACAATTTGATTTTCCTAACTGCCCAGTGGGATAGATGGGACAGGTGGTGTCACCCCATTGCAAAGACAAGGAACAAGGCTCAAAAGAGCTAAGTAACTTACCCGGAGTCAAGACCCAGGACTAGAACCCGGGAATTCCACTCCAAGTGCCAAGAACCTTACATTCCCCAAAGCTGTTGGCCTTGTAGGGGTTCAGATATTCCGAACCCGGGCTGGCTAAAATGAGTGGGCTGCCACACAGAGCTGCACCGTGGTAGGGCCTGGACTAGGGCCCTGGTTCTGGCTCTGAGACCATCACTACGTGCCGTTTCTGATACCTGGGACTCTAGAAGGTAGGGGTACCTTAGTAGAGCCACTTCCCCTACCAGCAACTCTGCCTGCTCCCCACGTCCCGGGGTTCGGGCTACCTGCTGGAAATACTTGTCCCCGTTGATGTATTCCTTGTCATGCGAGTCCTGCAGCCGGTTGGTCTTGACATACTGCCACAGGGCCTGGACGATGGCGGAGCGGCTCTGTGTGTGCAGCCCCAGCAGCCGGGCCAGGCGGGGGTCCAGTTTGAACTGGGGAGGCTGGGAAATGGTGACCATGAAAATTAGAAAGGCAGTGGCAAGGGCTGAGGGCCAGGCAGTGTGGGGCCGGGATGGGGGCACTCCTTGTAAACATGCTTCTGGAAAAGGGGGGTAGGGAGGAGAATGGGGGCTCCTGGGATGTGCAGCTGGGAGGCCTCGTCCCACCCTAAGAGAAAGGGTGTGGGGGTGGTGGGGCTGGCACGGACCTGGTAGTCCAGCATGAGGAGCAGCGTGCAACGCACACTCAGGTCCCCCGGCCTCTTCACCTGGAACCCATCCGTCTCCTGGGTGGTAGGCGTCCGGTGCCACTGTCCAGGGCAGAAGAGCTAGGTCATCTCATGGGCCCATTCGGGCTGGTGGGGCCTGGGGCTCTAGGTTGGTCGCTGCTTCAAATCTGTGCAGCTGATGGGACTGTGGTCCAGGTTCTTCAGGGACCTGGGCCTGTGGACAGGCGGCGATTCAAGGGCAAGAGGGGTCTGGGTCTTACCTCAACTAGGTGGTTGTCAGGGCCATAGAGGTCTTTGTCCAGCTCAATAACCAAACTCTTGAAGAAGGAAGAGAACTTTCGCTTCTGCTTGCTGGGCTGTGGGAGAGGAACAGGGACCGTGGGGGCAGAACAGGGACCATGGGGGCAGCATGAACAGGGAGGGGGTGGGGCTGGTTGGGTAGGCAGCGCGGTTAGAAGCAGGCCTCGCACCTCAGATGTCTCTCTAGGCCTCCCACCCTGGCCAGGGCTGATTCCCTAACCCTTCCTGCAAACGTCTAGCTCCGTCCTCAGCGCAGCCCCATACCCACCCCAGGACACCTGGAGAGACCTGGGCCAGGACGTACGTCATCCAGGAGCTTCCCCTCCACCCGCAGCTCCCAGGAAGCGATGCTGCCATCAGAATCCTCGGCGTCCGGCTTTGCAGGGTTAAAGGTATTGGAGATATAAAGACGCAGCTTCCGCTTTTGCTGTCGAAATAAAGAGTGTCCCACAGAGCGAACACTGTACGCCCAGCCCCAGGGCAACCCCGCTTCTCCATTCTGGGGACAGGACACACAGCCTTCTTCCCATCCCCAAATCAAGCACCTTCATTGGCCTCTTCAGAGCCTCCTGGATGTCCACCCGCTTCCGCATGATGGTTTGATCCAGTTTCCTCTCAAACGCCAGGAGGTCCATGTAAGCCTGGGATTCGGGGACCAGCTCCCGGATCTGGACGAGGAGGAGCAAGGCAGGGAACCAGGGGCTCAGCCAGTCTCGCAGGTGGAATGTGTGTGTGTCATGTGACCCCAAGGTACACAGACGTGGAGGGGAGCTGGCCAGATTCTGGGATTTTGTGAGAATCGGACCTCTCCCCAGAATTCTGTACCCAGCAATAGCTGCCTCGACGTGTAGAGATAAAAACTGCTTCTCCCTCTAGGGAGACCCATACATTTCATGGCTAGAGGAGGCCGGAGCCACCTTGGAGCCCAGCAAACTCTAAGACTTCACCTCATCTTGTCCTTTCCCTTGTCACACAACCTCTGGGCTTCCCTTGGGTGTCTGCAAAGTGGCTAGGACCTTGGGGTCCCTGAGACAGGGGATGTGGTTGCTTGCCTCTACCTGGCACCTCACCCAGTCACTCCAACTGATGTCTTCACCGTGCTAGCCCCCTGACCTGCTCAGTGTAGCTTCAGTCCACAGCACCCCAAGCCCAGGATGCTAC